AGGTTGTTGGCCTTTACTGTGGTACACTACATCAACGAAAACAATGAACTGTAAATGAGGCGCTGTAGTCCTTGAATCTAGTACATCGGTCATTGCCTTATTGTGACTGATATCCACATAATGCTTCTTTGATTGATGATCCGGACACGAGTAGGACGGATAGAAAGATGAATAGATTTACAAAGCGGCAACTTAATGATCGCCTGGAAACATCCAAGGAGCACAGAAACAGGTCTTACTTTACATTTATTTTGATCATTTTGTTTCGATGTAACTTGAGCGCAACAGATCTAAATTCAATGCACAAAGTACGAATACAGTGGACACTATAGGTGTACTATACAGCTTGGTAACAACTGATAGGTAAATATTTGTGACTTTTTAAAAGTCTTATTGACAAAGACAAAAACAGGTTCACACACTAAGGTTCACACATCACTACTTTAATCTTATATAGTAAGCATTTATTTGACAGTAACTGTTTGTGTAGTACTTTCTTTTTGATATAAATGTCTTTCCAAATATTAATTTGATAATCATATACGCAACAGTTCAGTAGTTTGTAACAAATCATAATATTTTGATTTTGAAATTGTTAGATTTATTTACCGTATGTCATTATTCCCCACAAAACAGGAAGATTTATCATCGAAGTAGGTCACCCATTGTAGTAGAAACATATCTCACACTATCTTGAGTGAAAGAAATACTATTTCGATCGAAAAGAAAACATTTTAGAACCAAGTAATGGGAATGAAACATAGAAATAAATCTAACGACCTAGTTCAACTAATGACTTTCATCACTTAAGTGTCTTTTCTGATTTATTAGCCGTTTGGGTTCCACGGGAGTTGTTTGAGAGTGGCAATCCCAATTGCCGTCCATGAGATTTGAAAATAAATGATGTAATCGATTATTGACGTCACATCATTCCACTAAATACGCTATATTTACATTTAATATTCAAGAAAAGAAAATCGGTATTACTGCATATATACTGAATCTGAAGGAGAACAAGACATTTTACTTCTTTCTTGTTTGCATTTTTAATGTTGAATGACTGCAAAGATGTATTCATTTAATCTTCTCCTGAAGACACTCTACATAATTATGATACATGTGGGTTGCGAAGTTTTGCTAAAACACGAGATTTGTTGGATGCTTGTTTCATTTCCTACATTTATCTTTTTTCTTTGAATTTCTTTTAATAAAACACAATCAATGATCCAGATAACAAACTTTGATATTATTGAAATTTTATTTTCAGCCCAATTAGTTTTCTAATGTCTGACAAACTGACCAGTTCTTTATCTTATTGTTTTAAAGTGCAAACAAAAGTACGTATCTTGAACAATAATCGTTCGTTCTCCATCCTTTTTCGTTGTACACAGATTCACCATTTTATCTGCGAGGGCCTGGTACCAAAATGTAAACGAGACACTGTCGTCAATGGTTACATACATAAAATTCAAATGACATGTTGATTTCATAGAACGGCCATAGTTACATCATGAATTAACTCCGTAACGCTTATGGACCGAGTGACTCGCGCACTGTAATATTGTTATTACAACCGTATATTTACATTTACATAAACAATGGCTTGGTGCTGTTATAAAGAGCAATTTAAAACGGTATACCAAGTAACTCGGTAAAATTAAAGAGTGCCAATGAAAGGTAGACATCAGTACATTAAAAACTGAATAGATATTGTAGGAAATTAAAGCAAGGTGATAAAAGGATTACAGAAAAAATATAAAATATTGGAAATTTTGGAATAATTCCAATCTTGATAAAGAGATTGAGCTATCAGAAAATGCACTTGAATAATTGTCGAAAAGATTTGTTACGTTATGCTCTGAATAAGACTTCTCTCGTTGATGCTTGGAAGCCTTTTGATGAAACATCTTGGTTGCCAAGCAAATGAACATTTACAAATTTGTTCATTACAATTCCTGCATCATTATTATGGCACAAAAATGTTTGCAAAATCATGACTTAAATATGTAGCCTTATTAGGATGTCACCTGAATTTTAGCAATATAATGTGCAATACAATGATATCCGTATCACATAAAACTCATTCATTTAGCAACCTCGTCGTCATTCCTCAAGGAAAGGAGGCTGGACTACTCGTATGATTTCCAGTCGGGATTGAACCCTGATCGCCATTAAAATAGAAAATTTTACTATCAACTGAGCCTTAACTCGACAGAGTGATACAACGCCAAGTAAATGTAGCTATCTTGTTGCAAAAAAAAGGGGGGGGGGAAGAATAGAAAAGAACAAGAATTCATCTCAGTATCGTTTAATGACTTCTTTTAAAGACTTTTATAACACAAAATTGTTTCTGGTCTCAAGCTCATTGTCGCTTAATATCATGCATTACAAACCTTGTTGTTAAGATCGAATAGCATGCATCTTTATTTGCAAGTTAACATGATTTATGTTTTTTCTTAATTTGACCATAATTTGACACCAGCTACCAGCTTGAAGTAACTCGTCAATAATAACTTAAAGAAGTATGTTAAGTCCATACAGGGATTTCTCAATGTACATCATGAAATCTTCCACTTTTTTCTGTTTTAATCCCAAAGTTGCTAGCACAGCGGAAAATTAATTTATCGTTAACTTTCAGGGCATTACAGATACAAACACAGGACACACTGTCTGGTAAGATCAACCATCTCTATATCAAACGCTTTGTATTTACTAAGAACACGGGAAATTAATGTAAGATTTATCCATGTAAATAGGTTACATGCATCTATAGAATACTCAATGTTACTTATAGTTTAGTAGATATTATCCATTCATTCTTATTAATCAAATATCCTAAAGTTATGACGTCACAATTAAGTGTAACATTGTTCGTAGCCACTGCAATACCTATACATAACTCCCATCGTCAACAAAGATGGTTTTCGTGCATAGAACGATATACACCAACACACTCGTTCTGACGAGGATCCCAGGCTCATTGCATCTACAACTATTCAGTTACATGCAAACGCTGCAGCTACTGAAGGCTTACTCCATCTCTAGTTCTTGTTCTAATTGTCTTTACAACGAGTGTTCTACTGCTCAGATAGTAACTGTGAGCTTTTTGTGGACAGATCAAAACATTCCGAAATACCGTTCATTATATGAAATTTGAAGATCAAGATACGTAAGGATTCTATAGAAAATTCTATAGAGAATGTACAACCAATCAGTTTTAATGTACAAGGTTTTACATGGTCTGGCTCCCCAGTATCTGTACAATTTTAGATATACTTCTGATGTACTAGATCATCATCTAATAACATATCTTATATACCTGCTTTTAAGACTGCATTGTATAAGAAATCTTTTACCTATCAGGGACCATATACCTGGAATATTTTACCAGATTCCGTGAGAAACGCATCATCACTTTTATCTTTTAAACAAAGTGCCAAAAAGTTTTTTATGGACTCCTCTTAATTTGCTGTGGATTCTTTAACTGATGCATTTTTCCTGTTTTCTTAAATGTTTCTCTGTTTTATGTATATTTTGTAATTATTGTACATTTTATGTATACTTGACCAGAAGGTAGACGAGTCTTTGACTCATTCTGTTATCAAGTATAAATAAAGACTATTATTATTATTATTATTATTAAATCTGTGGTAGAAAAAATGCAAAACGACAGCATGTGCTGGGAATCACTTTTAGAGTGTATTAAATTCATTCGTGCTATCGTCTTAAAAGATTGAAATCGAACTTGAAATCAAACATACCAAATATGTCATTGTGCCTGTAGATAAGACATCAGATAGTTAAAACCATATCTGTAGACACACTCTTCAATTAGCTGCATATCCCAGAATTCGGCTTGCTTGCAAACAAACCTACCTTAACATCACCTTATGCTTCCAAGCCAGACATACTGGATGATAAGGACTCAACATTACACTCTTTGAGAAGATTGCTGGTGGTGATTATCTCCCTTGTTTTAAATAATTCACAATAATTCACAAGAAACGACGTTTAATGCTATATTGTCATCCACGCCTTTAAGATCCTTCCTACCAATATTTAGTACTATTAATCTAGGGTTACCGTCTTATTGTTTACTCATAAAGTGGGATACATGGTATGCTTTTGACAAATCTTTAAAACATCTTCCTGGTAAAAAATCTTCTCTAAAATACTCTTCTGTAAGAACATTTGATTTGTACTCTCTGTACACCACTGTCTAAAATAATTAAAACACGAATTCATTTTCGTGATATGAGAGGTTTTACTATGGAAGGTGACAGTGCTACATATCGTGGTACCGTTAAATACAGATTTGGATAAGAGAAGTAGATTCGGAAAATGAATCAGACTGCATTATATAGCTGTTTCCTTCTTCTAGATTTTCTCAGTGGTGTTTAGAGCTTAGATATTAACCCTAAGAGGCGACTTATAAAATAAAAAAATGATTAAAAGAAAAATTAAAATCTGAACGGGGAGGTGCACTACCATAATTCGGTAAATCTCGTAATCTTTATATATCTGTTTGCTTTAAAAGAACTACCGATACGCGTATATTCCGAACCATGCAACTATTCAAATGAACATATCTTGATTTTTTTTCTATGCTTATATTGATAATTTTCAACTTGTTATAAATGTCAGGCAATGATATTTATCTATTTAGGTGTGATATGATACTACGTCCTAAGATCTGGTTATATACGTCCTACAATGGTTAGGATGGACAGCAGGAGTCTAACAGAACGTTCTTGCTACTTAATAGTTAGAAATAAAGTGAGCTGTATCATTACGATTTTAGAACTTTTTAATTCTTTTAATAAATGTCCATAACAGAATAAATTTGTACGATTTGACAGTATGTGCTCTCTTCAAACTTCTTGAGAATCGTAAACGTCCATTTATGATTGTATGAATGCGTTATAGCGCGGCACCACATGAAGTTTGTATTGCTATTGTGGAGTGTAAACAGTTCTCCAGTTCAGGAGTGTCATTTTTACCTAATATCCTCCTATTTTAGTTTCCTTTATCTTTGGCTTTCTCACAGGTCCAGTTCCAGATTTTGCGACTTTGGCACTGTTAGGTTTCGAACTAACGAACCTGACGTTTTTGTTGCCGGTTTTCTCCACAGCCGAGCGTGGCATGTCTAAATCCTTCTGGTTGTTTGTAGCTACGGAAGCGCTGTGACGTCTTACAGTTGCCATCTGGGTAATAAACGGGGTGAAGAATTCTTCATCATCGTCCGTCTCTCCCTCACTCTCGTGAGTCTTCTTGGATTTAGGTGTCATAGTCTTCTCTCTCTTTTGTTCCTGGTCTTCCTCAGCTTCTAATCGAGGCTTGTGGTAAGACCAACCAATTTGTAAGTCTGTCTTTTCCTTCTCGGTCAATTTAGAATATGGTCTCACAGTGCTTTGGAATTCCGGCGGGTCCTTCTCATCCATAGTTTTATTCCAAATGTTTCGTTTCTTTCTCGATTTGACAGTAAAGGCATCGATAGTCATTAAAGTTGATGGCGTTTTGGCTTTTGTTCGCAATTCTCTCATATAATGTGGCTTGTATTCATCCGCAATGAAGTCCTCATTCATTGCTTCCGCCATCTTTTTTGCCTGAGCCATTTTTACATTCTCAGGAGACGGCGGACGCTCAACTAGAATTATTGGATCATAGTTCAAAAGTTGAGACGTCTGCACAAACTGTTTCTTCTTCAGTCTCATCGTTGCCTCCATCCGGCGAATCTGAGAATTGATATGACGATATTGTTTCGTCAAGTTCTGATCTGGCTTGGTGTAGTTATCGAGGAGGGTAGAACCGAGCTTACTGAAGGCAGGATTTCGAGCGCCATCTACCGCGCGCTCACGTTCCAACATCATCCGACGTGAGGACACGTTGATTAACTTCACGTCTCGATCAATATTCCTGTAAGAAAAACCATATAATTTAATCAGTAATGACAATTTCCTCTGTTCAGACCTGGTGAATAAAATGCACAAAATGATTTTGAACAAATCTCAAAAAGGTATATCTAAACAGGATTTACATACGATAGACCATGTTACCCATCGATAAGTGTTTATATAAACGACATTCCTATAAAACAAATTGTTTAATTAGAAATATCTGAAAACGAAGATATATATCCTTTTATTTTTTACTTAAAAACTCGTAATAGTCTTTCTGACTAAAACCTCTGACTACTTCTTGGCTGGTGACATGTTAGTACTTGCTCAAATAATAAATATTTTCACAAAAACACACGAGACTATAATATATAGCTTTGGAACGCTATTCCTTCAAAAAAAGAAAAGCATTATCTGGCGAATACTGCTGACGACATGCTGTGTGTACCAAATTGATTCGTAACCTAAATAAATAAAACGGCGTTTGTTTACAACGAAGGTATTTTGGAAGTAGAATAAGAATGTTTTTGTCACTTCTTATTTTCATTCCATACACGATTTGTGAAATCAATACAAGGGCTGTAGGGTTAGGGTGTACTGATTTGTGAAACCAGAATAAGGGCTGTGGGGTTAGGGATATACTGATTTGTGAAACCAGCACAGGGGCTGTGGGGTTGGGGGTATACTGATTTGTGAAACCAGCACAGGGGCTGTGGGGTTGGGGGTATACTGATTTTATGAAATCAACACAAGGGCTGTAGGGTTAGGGGTGTACTGATTTGTGAAACCAACACATGGCCTGTGGGGTTAGGGGTATACTGATTTGTGAAATCAACAAACGGGCTGTGGGGTTGGGGTTGTACTGATTTGTGAAACCAGCACAAGGGTTGTGGGGTTGGGGTTGTACTGATTTGTGAAACCAGCACAATGGTTGTGGGGTTGGGGGTATACTGATTTGTGAAACCAATACAAGGGTTGTGGGGTTGGGGGTATACTGATTTGTGAAACCAATACAAGGGTTGTGGGGTTGGGGTTGTACTGATTTGTGAAACCAGCACAATGGTTGTGGGGTTGGGGGTATACTGATTTGTGAAACCAATACAATGGTTGTGGGGTTGGGGGTATACTGATTTGTGAAACCAATACAAGGGCTGTGGAGTGTATCGATTTGTGAAAACAATACAAGGGTTGTGGGGTGTATTGATTTGTGAAAACAATACAAGGACTGTGGGGTGTATTGATTTGTGAAAACAATACAAGGGTTGTGGGGTTGAGGGTATACTGATTTGTGAAAACAATACAAGGACTGTAGGGTGTATTGATTTGTGAAAACAATACATGGGTTGTGGGGTGTATTGATTTATGAAAACAATACAAGGGTTGTGGGGTGTATTGATTTGTGAAAATAATACAAGGGTTGTGGGGTTGGGGGTATACTGATTTGTGAAAACATTACAAGGGTTGTGGGGTGTATTGATTTATGAAAACAATACAAGGGTTGTGGGGTGTATTGATTTGTGAAAACAATACAAGGGTTGTGGGGTTGTGGATATACTGATTTGTGAAACCAATACAGGGACTGTGGGGTGTATTGATTTGTGAAAACAATACAAGGGTTGTGGGGTGTATTGATTTGTGAAAAAAATACAAGGGTTGTGGGGTTGGGGGTATATTGATTTGTGAAAACAATACAAGGGTTGTGGGGTGTATTGATTTGTGAAAACAATACAAGGGTTGTGGGGTGTATTGATTTGTGAAAAAAATACAAGGGTTGTGGGGTTGGGGGTATATTGATTTGTGAAAACAATACAAGGGTTGTGGGGTGTATTGATTTGTGAAAACAATACAAGGGTTGTGGGGTGTATTGATTTGTGAAAACAATACAAGGGTTGTGGGGTGTATTGATTTGTGAAAACAATACAAGGGTTGTGGGGTGTATTGATTTGTGAAAACAATACAAGTGTTGTGGGGTGTATTGATTTGTGAAACCAATACAAGGGTTGTGGGGTTGGGGTTGTACTGATTTGTGAAAACAATACAAGGGCTGTGGGGTGTATTGATTTGTGAAACCAATACAAGGGTTGTGGGGTTGGGGTTGTACTGATTTGTGAAAACAATACAAGGGTTGTGGGGTGTATTGATTTGTGAAAAAAATACAAGGGTTGTGGGGTGTATTGATTTGTGAAAACAATACAAGGGTTGTGGGGTGTATTGATTTGTGAAAACAATACAAGGGTTGTGGGGTGTGGGGTGTATTGATTTGTGAAAACAATACAAGGGTTGTGGGGTGTATTGATTTGTGAAAACAATACAAGGGTTGTGGGGTGTATTGATTTGTGAAAACAATACAAGGGTTGTGGGGTGTATTGATTTGTGAAAACAATACAAGGGTTGTGGGGTGTATTGATTTGTGAAAACAATACAAGGGTTGTGGGGTGTATTGATTTGTGAAAACAATACAAGGGTTGTGGGGTGTATTGATTTGTGAAAACAATACAAGGGTTGTGGGGTGTATTGATTTGTGAAACCAATACAAGGGCTGTGGGGTGTATTGATTTGTGAAAACAATACAAGGGTTGTGGGGTGTATTGATTTGTGAAACCAATACAAGGGTTGTGGGGTGTATTGATTTGTGAAAACAATACAAGGGTTGTGGGGTGTATTGATTTGTGAAAACAATACAAGGGTTGTGGGGTGTATTGATTTGTGAAAACAATACAAGGGTTGTGGGGTGTATTGATTTGTGAAAACAATACAAGGGTTGTGGGGTGTATTGATTTGTGAAAACAATACAAGGGTTGTGGGGTGTATTGATTTGTGAAAACAATACAAGGGTTGTGGGGTGTATTGATTTGTGAAAACAATACAAGGGTTGTGGGGTGTATTGATTTGTGAAAACAATACAAGGGTTGTGGGGTGTATTGATTTGTGAAAACAATACAAGGGTTGTGGGGTGTATTGATTTGTGAAAACAATACAAGGGTTGTGGGGTGTATTGATTTGTGAAAACAATACAAGGGCTGTGGGGTTGAGGGCGTACTTACGTTAATTTTACAGAATGACTTAATGAATTACATTAACAAATTAGTAAGATATACGTCAAATAGAACCAGGTGAAAAATTGATTAAAAAAACAAAATGTGTAGTTTACAATGGAATATTTGTTATACAATAGTCAATTTATTATTTTAAAAGATCGGCAATAATGTAAAAACGATACGTGTGAAATAAAATCTCTGCAGACAACAATCGACTCGCCAATTCACGATTCATCGAAAAATAATGTCAGGTAAGATAGCATTCAGTAATATTCAGGTAAACACCCGTATATTTATCATAAGCATGATTTGATATATAAGCGATCAGACATGATGACTAAGTACTGTTAGATTTATTTAACATGTTTAATAATTTAATATGACAAGAGCCTTAAAACATATGTCAAATCCAACATGTTGAAACTTGCACTTTGTAGATCCACGAGAATTGCATTTGTTTGTTTCTTGGTTTCCTGTCACCATGAAAGTTGCAAGTACCATAGGAATTACGTATACTCTACATATCACGAACAGCAGTGAATTTTTTAATTCATAAATTACATATTCTTATAATAAGGATAAAAAAGATTGTAAGGAAACTGAAATTCGTTTCTTTAGCATGGCTTAAATCTGACATTACATCTTTTCATTTCCTTATTTTACAAGTAGAAGAAAGTGATCGTCAGCGATCGTGTAGCTGACGGTCAGATCCAAAACGAGTTTTTTTTCTGAAAAGAAAAGTCTTAGCCCTTCAGACTCAATAATTAACAAAACCGAACAAACCACCTTTAACACTTAAATATAATTATTGTTTCCGTATAGCATGAAAAGCAAAGAAGACGATATTTCGGGATTCTTGATTAAATAACATGAAGATTACAAGAGTATGTAGTTACCCTGGTGTCGATGGGACAAGTGGGAAACAGAACATCGACCATACCAAGTATTCGAGTTAATCGAGTTTGAATGTCTGGTTTGAAGTTTGGCTGGGGCCGTCGATTTTCTTACAATTCGAGTTTTCACAGCTTCGCGATAACGAGATTCGACTATACTTATATCTTACAGTTTTATAAAGGGGCGGACAGTGGGTTATTTTGTTTCCTTATAACGACTAACATAGTTTCATTTCTGTATAGTCCTCGTGTCCGTCCTTATTCCGATATCCCGACCACCTGTATTCGGATTTAGGGATCCCGACTCCGCCTTATAGTTATAACATATATTTTGTCTTCATTTCAACCGCCCTTTACCATACCATTACCCGGCATGCTAAACATGTGTGATTAATATAATGAAAGTTTGTTTCTCCAGATCTCTGTGAAAACGAGGTCAATATGTTATCTATCATATTTAATTAATTTATTTCAATTTTTTATTATAATTTTTTTTTATAGAAAATGAGGTTTTGTAAAATGTATTACTGTCCCCAAAGCAAGAAGATATTGTATAACTTTAACGATTAATTTCCGTTAACATCAACTGGAGAAACTCATTAGATATACATAACGCTCGTGCACTTGATGTAATGAAATTAACATCATTTGCCAGGATGTGAACAAAATATGAAACGGAAGACGGAACGGAGAAAAAAAATCATTTTGATGATAAAACTGTTAAAGTTAAATCGTATTTTCGTATGAAATCCGTGCTCCGTTTCGCATTTGTGTGCACATTCAAACTACCACATGCAAAGATTCCTTCGTTGTAATTCGAGAAACACTTCTGCCCTGTTTGTGACGTCACAAATGTCGTATATCAATATAATAGAGATATAACAAATTTCGTCATTTAGTTTTATATTATAACAGATTTTTTTCTCCTTGTTCAAAATTTGAACAAAACGACGACAAAACTGTGTGTCACGAATAGGATTTGTTTCGGCGTTTCTCTCATTACTATATATATATATAGTACACATATAGGGTAATCACACAATAAGCTCTTGGATAAAATGTAGGTATTGTTGTGCGCTTTGTATGTCACTATTCTCAATATATTTATTTGTAATTACAATTGTCTAAAAAAAAATGAGAATCTTTTAAGAAGCTCATTTTTTTCTTATGATTACAAATCGCAATGCAGTTATCTCCCCTGGCCCCACTTGTATAAAACATCTCAACTTGAGATTTCCTCAAGTCGATATTTTCCTTAGCTGATATCTCCTCAAAAACGGCTTGTATAAAATTTTCTCAAGGAACAGGAGGAAGGCATCGGCTAGGATTGCCTGAAATTCCTTGCGGAATTTTCATACAAGATATTTTCAAGGAGATATTAGCT